TAACTGAAAGCAATACGATTAAACGCGCGATAATGGATAATATGTACTGATATTAAAGAAGGGGAAGGGATGCCCCCCCCCCCCATTTGACTTCATATTTTCCCGATATCCATACTAATTAAATGTTATATATCGTAACTTAATAAATTGCATTATAACTGAGTTAGTCGTTAATACGAATCTACCAGAGTCACTAGAATAAACTAACGAAGAACAAATGTTTGGTACAAAATTGTATCGCGAGCTTGCTGATTACAAAGTAATGAATGTTCGTTCAATTAATATCATTGTACGAATTTAATTTGTCAAATTATCTCATGCAGATTCGAAATCAAATCAACGGAATGAAAATATGAAATGCATTTATCGATTTACGTATTATCGCTAGAAAAAGGAACTGTCTTCGAGAAACGGTGTTGCGAGAGAAATAGTGATGCAACAATGCGTAATGGATATATGCGATACTCGTATAAAGGAAATTTCTTTAGCTGATTTACCTACGACGAAGGATTATTACATAATACAACACGCAATTCTAAGTATTCGTCGAGCTTTTACGGATTCTTGGAAAGGTCTCTTATAAGTGATGCGGGGTTGCAGTCAAATTAATGAGATTAAATGAACGTGAAAATATCGTAAACTTTCCGTATACAAACAATATTAACGATCTCCTGTTATTCTATTTCACATTACTTTACATATCCCGTTCGGCAAAATTATATTCCGGTAAAGAAGAAAATTCATTCAATTGGAGATGAGTTAGACAATGCGAAATTATGCAAATTATCTCTATATTCTTCGATAAGAACAGTTTCCTCAATAGAACTGTCTTTACGTTGAAATCGCGTTGCAATTTCAATGGAAAATTCTTACCTGTGAAACATTGCATTAAATCCCCGTCAATTTATCTGCTAAATCGAATCTCTACTTAATGAAGGAAAATCAAATTGATTTCATTTCGCACTTCAAGAGCGGCCAGTCAACAGCTCTTGTTGTGAGTTTGCGGAGTCGACCCGCGCAAATTCACCGTCGCAATGCTTCATGCATTTCAATGAACGGCATTTTGAAAGTAGATTCGTTTTTGCAGCATGGAGAGGTACAAATTAGCCGTAATCAAAAACTGTAAATGTAATTAACGCCGAAATGTAGTTAACGAGCATGCCTTTGTATAAATATGTTGCGCTGCCACTGCACGAATTTCGGAATTTGCTAATTAACAAATGTACCATAAAAATCAATATCCTTGCATACCAAATATCGTAAACAGTATCGCAAAGTTTTTTATCTTTTTATCGTTATACATTTTTATTTATATTAATAAAATCAGAGTTAAATAGATTAACTTTTTTTTAACTATGTGTTAAGTTAAAATTAACAGCCTTGAAAATTAAACTTAATTAAAATACAAATTAATCCATAATAAAATTAAATATATATATATATATACTAAATTTTGTATGCAATTTTAATTAAAGATGTTGTAATATCTTTTTTAAATATTAATAAAATATACAGTTCTCTTATTATAACATTAATATATCTAAAAGTAGAAATTCCGATGTTTAATCAACTTGTTGTGAAAGCTTGTGGTTAAATGAAAATCGATAGTTTCGTAATATTCACAATCAGTATATTTATATTTAATTCTGAGTACGGCATATATCTCGTCTTTCTCTTTCCAATACTTTTCCAAGTGCTTCTTCCATTGCTTATAACTTTTTTAATTATAAAGAAACATAAATTTGCTTGGCATTGTTACGTTCTTCAATGTCTAGAGTTTCGATTAAACAAATATTTTACAATGTTCATTTTTATAAAAGTTATAAACAATCGAATTAAGTTGGATACCATATCCAAGTGTGTGTTCTCTTAGTGTTCCACAAGTAGCAAAATGTGTGACGTCAAAGCACATCTTAATAACATCTTTTACGTCAATAAGATGTTATTAAAACATCATTTGGGATGACATCGAAAGATTAAGTCTCATTTTTTTAGCGAATTAAAAGGAACTTGTAGGTAGATACCATTTATATTTCTATAAATTTATATAGAATAAAAAAAGTCGTTCTATTATTCTGTTTCTTTATTCACGCGCTACATCAAGACACGATAAATTTTGTTCAAAAATAATTAGGATCGGTATTCGTAATATCAGTTCTTATATTCAAGACTGTCTTAGATGCAATCTTGAAATATTATAAACTAGATCTATCACAGGGCCGTATTAGCATCTTAGAACATTTCCTAAACGGTCTGGCAATATAAAAACGGACTGTGAATACCGATCTAAAAGAAACATTATGATATAACAGATAGATGATTGAATAGCGTTTTCCTAATGCTAATGTTTTAAAATGTAATCTAGACTTAACTCATAATGTGCGTTTTTTATCTTGTATCATGATGTATAGCTGTACTTTAACGTATCCATGATCTCTGATACGAATCGCTCCCACATTGTAATTCGCAAACAAATCTCGCGCATATTCATAACAACACAGTTAACTCAGAGCTTTATTTGCGACATACGAATAAAACGTTTTGAATTACTGACACGTAGACGGGTGAATATAAAAAAAGTAAACTAATCGAAAATGCGTTAAACAATACGCGACGGACAGGAACACATGTTATTCTGCATCGTGACTGAATTACATTTAATTTATCGGACAGCAAATAATTTAATATGCAACAATAAACTGTTTGTCTCACTGTTGTTTCTACTTAACTAATTCGCAAATGTCATTTCCGATGTTCGCATGAATGAAATGTTATAAATAACACCTGCCATATATTTCGAATGACATAAGTCATTGTCGAGATTCAAGAAATCAACATTTGAGAAGTCACGTCCGAAAGAATTCTCTGGATATATGTATGTATATATATAATATATATATAAAATATACGTGCCGTTTAAGTTACAGTCGATCGCCTCAAACGACTACGCCTTATTTTTAACTCTTTAAAGCAATGGAACCGGCGCATAGTCGTTCTTACGTGAAAATCAGGGATAACGAAGCACTCAACCGCTTCACAATTGCTTTAATTGATGCAGACGAAACGGCGCCTGATTAAAGATGAGAATTACGATCGCTATAGTACTAGATGAACTAGATCAGTTAAAATCTATTAGTAGCAGAAAAAAAGTAAGGCAATAAGACGTAAGCAGTAAATAAATCGGTCAATCACAGTATAGAACATAAGACAATATATAACGTAAGCAATAACAAATTCAAAACGATTCGCTTATTGCTTACGTTACTGCTTAAGATTTTTTGCGTGCCATAGCCTTAAGCAAACGAACAGTTATAATTATTCGATATCACGAAGAGTTGCAATTATAATTAAGAGTTATAATTATTCAATATCACGAAGAGTTGCAACTTGCAACTTATCTTCAAGATGCAAAGATTCCAAAGTAATCCATGTACGTAAAGCGGCGTTCATAGAATTAAGACCCATCTCGTTTAACTTTGAATAACAGAGTATGAACTTTACAAAGAGGTTCAATACCGATATTATGGATTCATGTGATCTTTAGGAAAGTTTATTAATTACATGGAGAATAAATTTTCTCTTTCGTGATGATCGATAGCTTTTCCTCAGGTATGGAAAAAATACGAAAGGATGCGTGAATGACTGATTACTTTCAACTCCCACATTTTGAGAGATATTACGTCATCGCGTTCTCTCTCAGTAATGTATATGTCTGTGAGATTATATCGCAGACGTAATGTAATTCAATAATATCAATTAATACATTTTATCATGTTTAATATTTTCATTCGTTAAAATAATTCTCTTTTTGTACGTTCGTAATCCTATTCTCGTTCAAACAAAAAATTTTCGCTCTAAAATTTGATATTCCCGTGGGCTACATTATCTATATTGTTACAACAAGCATTGTTTGTTACTGTTTGTAAATATAAAACTCATCGATGTGACTCATCGATATATGATATCAGCATCTGTGTAACTGTGAAACGTTTATATTTTAAAATTTTTTAGCTTACCAGCTTTTGAGTTCGTACAGCAAATATAATATATCATATTTAATCATAACAGAACGTAATACAGCATTGCCTTTGGCATGATTTTTCATTTAATTGGAAAGAATATATAAAGAAAATTTGCGTAAAAAATTTTTATAACGAAAGCAGAATTACCTTTTTACGAAGTGATAAATGTGCCCGATTTTTTCTTATTCATTACTTCCATTTCACTTATTGTCCATTGAATTAAAAAGAAACCGCGAGTACATGAAAAGATTAAACTTTTAAAAGAATATTATCACCATTCATTCTGTATGAATCTAGCAGATGTTGGAAATGATACGATAAAAGAAGATAAAAGACACGAGAGTATCATTAAATTTTCAAGGCAATATTTTCATAATTGATGACTAAACTTTCGCGTACACGGAAAGAAAAGATTATAATGTACCAAAAAATGTTAGTTAAATATACATTAAAAAATAAAATTTTATTAGATCATCAAAATAATTATGCGCGGTCGTTTAAACTGGTTGTAAATGTCAAAACTTTTTCTAACATTATCGTCGTGTTTGACCTACATAATTATTTTGATGATTCAACATATTTTCAAATCTATATCTATATACTTTTTAAAACTTTTAAAGTGAATCTCACTCTGAGTAGAGAAGTCTCACTCTTAAAGATTGAAAATTAAGCCACTCTTTTTCAAGAGCTGGCTCAATTTGCACTTTTTAAAGAGAAATTTCATTCTTACAATTTAGAGAATTAAATTTTAAATACTTCCAGCAAAACCATTTTTTCCATGTAAAAAATAAATAAATTCACTATCATGTTGATCAATTATTATAGAATATTGACGCGAAAACGATTTGCGCATCGCGAGAATACGAATAGAATTCGAGTCGAAGTTGCGAAGGGCGGGCAACCCCCTACGACGTATCCCCATAAATCCGACGCAGTTGTTATCTCCGCAAACATCCCTGGTGGTTTATTATCACTTACTAGGAGCGGATTCGAACGTCGTCCTGTCGCTGAAGACGGAAGCAACGGCTCCGCATTATCGTCTCTCCATGCGCCTTTATCTTTCCCGTCCCTTCAAGGCTTCGTTTCTCCCTCGTGTTTCTCCACGACGAGACTTCGCCTCGCGGTCTAGCCAACACGCTCTGTCGTGTATCCTCAGTCTTTTCTCAGTCGCTTGCCTTTCTTTATCCCCCTCGTCCGTTGAGCGCAATTCGAACTTTACACCCGCGGGGCACAACACACGGTACCCATGACGACGCGTTCTCTTTTACAATTAACACTTTTAGTATTTATGTAACAACTCCACGCTCGCGCATTCACCGATAGGTCAAGTCAAGCAGACAGTATTAAATTAAAACACGCGCTGCGGGGTACACGAGCGACGAGGTACCGCGCGAGTGCTCCGCTTTGCTCCGATTTAGCGCCAAGTGAGCGCAATCAGCGAATAAATAACACCACCCTCTCAAAACGACGCTCGGCGCGTTACTGACCGTCCGCGGTTCGCGCAGAGGTATAGACAGCGGCGCACGCTTTGATGCCTTTGAGACGACCGCGCATGCGTCGTCGCTAGTAAAAGGCGAAAACGCGATTCGCATTCTCGAAGCGCGCGAGGAACCGATCGTAAACTAGCGATTGAGGGATTTGATCAGAAAAAAAAATGATGTGCCCATCCCTCCCCAACGAGATATTTAACTCGTTTTCAAATTATCTGCGCGAACAGCGTTATGCTTAATTCCAGCTTCCATCGCGAATGATATATGACGGAAAACATCCGGTAGAACGTGGCGTTCAAGACTAACGTCGCTCTTTTTGAAATATGTAATTTCTTGTCGCTAACATTCGCGAGAGTAATGAATCAACAGTGATTAATAATTCGCGAAAGGGATTTAAATGTATGTGTTCACATATTTCAGATAATATTTTATGTGCAACCAAAATCTATCAATTTTAATGCGTCTTGATGGATTTGATAATACATAATATTTTTCATAAGACTTTCAAACAAAGAATAAAATGTCAACACTGTGTAAGAGCAATGATAATGAATATCGACGAAAAGGTTACAAATGGTTTATACATTTTAAAGAAAATTTTATATAGCAAAAAAGCTATTTAATTTGTAATAATTTTATTAATGCGTCCATTTGAGAATCTTTGGAAACATAAATTCATATAATAAAATAAAAATATAAAAGATACAAAAATATAATAATATAATAAAAGAAAAATCTAATATAAAAAGAGAAGTATAAATTTTTTTCATAAAAAAGTTCTCCAAATAAGCGCAGAGTAATAGGTGTACACAAGAAATAACGTCTCCTAAAATTTTAATACACGCGCTTTCAACTTTTTTTATTGCAAGTTTGCAAATGATGATGAAGGTAAACATTGCGGTCGGAGCCATAGTTCTTTCACCACTTGCTGAAGATGACAAGATCGATGAAAGCAAGATGTAACATGTACACACGTACTGGTTATACACATATTATATTCGCGTATACCGATCTGTATGTGGAGGAGTGAAACTCTGGTAGTAAAAGGCGGAAATCCACGCTAGCATGATAATACCGCGAATACATTGCGCAATATCTATTATTTGCTGCCAAATTTTCCTTAGTAAATAATTGTCTTTAAATGTGCCAACGATTATGTTTACAGAGATAACAAACAATATTTACAGCAAATAAAGCTTTTGAATAATTTAACGTTCTCAGACATAAAAATTATTATTATCTAAATGTATATTTAATCATATTAAATAACGTAACAGACATGTAAAAAAATGGAGACAATCGTCCTGTTATGTCAATAATAATATACACTTCGTATATGTAGAGGTAATAATATTTTCATTAAAATATTGTCGTAAAATATGATCGATGTTGCGCAAACAAGTATTTCGTAGTTTGCATATTTTTTCTACTGATTGAAGAATTGGCACAAGAATTATTGCTACTCGTAATTTCAATTTTCAAAGAGGCATGACGAAACGGAGGTTTATATATTACCCAGTATTTTTCCGCGAGCGCAGATGGTAATTATCTGTGCAAGTAGATATATACACGTACAGATACCGCGAAAAAAATACAAAAGCTGCCGGCGTGACGTACACCGTTATGCTTGTCCCCCATTACGAGCTTCGCCTTCGAAAATTGGCACGTATAACTCCGGAAACCATGAGCAAAACGGCGATGACCGTTCTTATGACTGTTTCGCGTGCACAATAGTCGTGAATTACGTTAATCTTGTCCATTAAATAAATTGCTTTAATGAAAAATTGTTCGTTTCGTATTGGGAACGTAATTATTAAATAAGAGCGAATTGCAAAATAGCAGCAGAAAAACTTCAGTGTGCTCCGAATTTTTAAATTAGCGCAGCTTGGCAAAAGTGGAAAGATATCATAAAATTAATAAAGATATCATAAAATAATGAATTTGATTGATTCATGAGATAAATAATTAATTTATTAATTTAACTAATTTAATTTTTTTTTTAATCACTTTATTAACCACGTAATTTAAATTTTTATTTTATAAGTGCGACAATTGTAAAAGTAGAAACTGCAAATTTATAAAAAGAGAAAGAGATTATCTGAATTTTGTACTGCCGAATCACTATTCAGCTTGTGCTTTCAATTTTCCACGGAATTCCGCATGTCGAACGCATTTCACGGCGATATGCAAGGCTATCGTGATTTTTATTTTTTTGCGTAAATCACATCGCTGCCGGTCCATGTGTGACGGCAAGAGAATGCACTTTTCCTCCTCGCGTCTGTTATGTATACACTCTTTATCGTACGTGCGCGCGATAAAACGCGAAAATCCGCTACATATTTACAACAATATATGACTTCCTGTTACAAACTGCGAATCCGAAAATCATGTTTATCTACAATATAACCGTTTACGGGTATACTGTTTTATGTACCTTGCTCTTCAAACTCTCAAGAATAGCCCTCGCCGATTACGTTATTTTTTTAACGTTATGCAAAGATTCTTTAATTTATTCACAATAAATTTTTTATCATTGTCTCTATTATCACTGTAGTATAACAAAAAATTTTACCACGAATTTTTGTATTTATCGAATCCTTAATAATTTATATTTAAAAAAAAATGAATTCTCTGGAGTTATGTTTTATTTATTAAAAATTAAAAGTAATAATTAACATTCAAAATGACCCTTTTGGTCAAACTTTATGGCACTTCAGGAACGTATCAAAGATAGCCCCGCATTTTTCCATAGATAAATTCTTCCAAATGGCCAATCGACCAATAAGAGAATGGTCTTTAATATGTCATTTTAAAAATAATGATAAATGACATAAGCTTGCTACTTGGATAATAGATGAAAATTTTTTTTATTGTCCTGTGTTGTTACAATTCTAATCACACCGATCTACATTCTTTGTACTACTTTGTATCACGAAGTTAAATTATTACTGGTATTTTATCATTTTGAATTATTATTTTAATATTATTTTTATTATTATTGAAATATAATGATAAATTAAAGTATTACTATTAATGTGTAATAATCATTTCTTTCTTTAAGTATAATCAGATATAAAATATTTAAGCAACATTAGTTTAAGTTTTAATATTGCTTTCAAAGTTATTAAAATTTTTTATCATAAATTTCGATTAAGAAGTATAACGTGGATGTAAAAATTTACGAACGACCTTAGCCCTTAAAACATCATTATTATTATAGTACTAAAATTTCCCTCTTAAGGTTATTGCGTTGGCGAAAAGTTTAATGGTTCTCTTCCGCATGAAATTCGGTTTTGCGAACTAAATTTCTCATTATACCCGTTACATTATACAAGATACTTTTTAAAACCAAATATCTCGTCAAGAATATATATTAGTGATCTTTTTCGTGAAAATTGAAAACATCAAAGAAAAACATTAAAATATTTACATATATTAAAATAAATTGTGTTTGTTGCTTCACGTCTTATTGTTACATTTACCTAAGATTACGTGAGCTCTATTTGCTAACTTTCTACGGACAAAACTGGCAACTATGTTATAATGCAAGCGGCGTCAGTGAGCATGAGAAACGTAACTTAATCGATTATAGCCTCAATGCACAAGTCACATTTTTTGTATAATTTTGTTTAAAGAATGATGCAATCATAAGGCAATAAAATAAGAGTTTCGTTGGTTTCTTTTTTGTGAGAAAGCTCGAAAAAAACGAACCATTACAAGAATTAGTAACCATTGATTTTTTTTTTATAATAAAAAGTAGAACCGAGAAAATAATTCGCTTTTTGTCGACTCGTAAATATGCAAATTCGATTTGTGCATCATGTGAATTGTGAAGCGAATAATTTGACGAGCATCGACAAGTGAATTGTCAGTTCATGCAATCTCGCTACTTGATTTATGTAGGCAAAATCGATAACGCATTTGAGTCGGTGCTTACACTCCGCAGGTGCTCATTTAGGAGACTCCTCAAATTAATCGAGAGACAGATGACAACGACAGATGTCTGTTCATTACGTAATGTTAATTATATCTTTCATGCTACATCTTGTAAAGATCTCACAAAAGAGAATATAGCTTTCAGCATTAAAAAATTTTACAAAATAAGATTTTTTGACATAAACACGTTTCTTTACTTCTTTAATTAGTTCTTTACAACAAATAAAGAAAGAATGTAGTTTTTAGTATTTAAAAAATAACATTCTTTGATGTAAAACAAAAGTTTCTTTTATAGCTTGCGCAAGTATAAAATTTAAGCTCTTCACGCCAAGACTTTCTCTGAACATTTTGATAATGTAAGATGTAGGTAACGCGATTTCTCAGAACAGCAGAATTTTCATGGAATTTTCTAAGATCTTGCGAGTAGATGACTTTTGTAAAACCGATCCCTCCTAACGTTTCGCGAATGGACTTTGGATCTTCATTCACACGAATATGCTCCATGAAACTTGCAAATCCAATTTCCTAGATTACAACCCGGGTTATAGGAATTCACATTGCTGGAAAGCTGGATGGTCGAGTTCGATTTAGCTCCGACGAGACGTGTTTCAAACGAAACGTATTTCATTTTATGCTCTAAAGTTCTTAAAGCTAATATCAGAATATTACCACAGGTGGTGTGTTGATTCGTGTACATCAAGTGTGATGTGGAATTATTAACTAATTGCTCGATGACTCAATTAATTAATTATCGTTTACATACCGTGATCGTAGCATTAACCTCTGATAATGATATGTGTATCAATAAAAAGTCATAAGCCCATTATCGACGATCTATAGTGACAGAATTTAAGATAACATTTTGTTTACAATTTTATATATTGTGTAATAAAAATTAAAAAATATATTATGTAATAAACATTTAAAGAATAAGAAACACACACACATATAAAATATATATTACGATATACATAAATATATCGACGTATTCTGTGCATAAAATTATAGATAAAATTTTTATACTAAAATCTGAC